GGCCAGTGTGGCTAGCATAGACATTTTTTCTGCTGAGGAAAGTTGATCACAATCAGTCGAGAGGTAAACAATCTCCTCAAGTGATACTGTGGCGAAGCAGGGTATGCGCATCTACTTTATACATTACCATGACCCAGAAACGACCAATCAGAAGAGAGCATTGTCTTAGGTCTGGGGCTTGGGCCACATTGGTCGGCACTTTGTGAGACGGCAGCAAGGCGAGAGGAGTTCTGTGAAGTCGCTAAGAGTGCATTGCAGTCTGTTGACGTACGACTACAGAAGAGCGGGAAAACCAACCTTTTGTGTGCTCCACTGCCATCGGTTAGTGCAGCACTAGCATAGTTTTTTGGTTAGTTGGAACTGCAGGTCATTAAGATCCGTTTGAGATTTGGGGTGGATTGTTAAGTGACAGTCTGGATTATGTTGATGAACCAGTCATTTGGGGAATCAAGGAATCTGAGACTTGTTGGCGTAGCTGCTGTTGATTGCAGCCCTGGTGTATGAGCTTGCTCTCCACGTAGAGGTTTACTGGGCGTAGTTTCTTTAGGGTCCCTTAAGGATCACTATATTTGCCTTAATTAGTTCTGTGTATAAGAGGAACGTGAGGTGTGTGAAGGTTACCTATGGTGTGGTTGAATACGTGACCATCGCTTGTCAAAGTCATGATGCAGTTGACCACGTTAGGATAATTAAAAGTGAGGATCATTTGTACATATCAGCTTGTATATAACCAATCACTGAAACCTATAGCGAGAACTAACCATTCACATAATCGTTATTTAGAGTCACTTGTCACTGTGAGGCTGATTGAGATTCATTGTGACATTTTAGATTAACTCTCCTGTGATCGGAATCAATAGATCAAAGATCGGTGGCATATATGAACGTCCCATAGGCTTAGTCCACCGTTCGTGAACAAATACCTCTTCTTACGTCTGCAGGGTAGCTAGTCATCCTTGCACGAAGCTAATAAATATATATTAAGGTCTGATTTCTTTCACTGATTTCTTTCATTTTTTTTCTTTAGTGTATAACATTTTTTTATTTTCAACTTGTAGTTCTTGATAACATGCGACCTGCCCAATGTAACTGAATACAACTGCAAACTCAACTGATAGTGAGTCTAGTGTGCTCTTTGAGTGAATGCCCTGCATTTAAGCTCTTTGGTACAGACTTCTTCACTAATAAATTAATAACTATGCACGCAAGCGCACAAATGGCCTTGGAGGTGAGAAGTGTGAGCAGGCCATTGAAATTGAACAGGGGTGCCACTTCGATGATAATTTTCTCTCAGGTTTTCTTACTTTGTTCGGTTTTCTCTTGTGAATATCCCATTAAATCGTTTGTTCTATTAGTTTCTAATTTAAGTGGAATTGTTAGTACTGTGACGAAACGGGGTGGGCATGGATGCCAGTCTAAATCATTAATTATTAATACATGCGTTGACCAATCAGCAGTGCGTAGAGCAGTAGGTCTGGGTGCTTGCGGCGTGCTTAGGGCATGCATTGTTAGTTTCGCTGCTGGGTCGCAGAGTGACAGGATCGCCGCCGAGCGTTGTGAGCTGCACATTGCGCCGACTGTGAGGTAGCGTGGGACGCTGCACTGGAGAGCGCTGCGTCGTATCGACTGGTAGGTGGAGTAGTACATGTAGTAGTGAACTGTTTATTGGGTCTTGGTTAGTGTGGGAACAGTTTAGAGCGTAGGTTGTTAACCCGTGTCTGAGAGCTAGTGGTACGGTGATTCGTTGTGGATTGCTTGCTGTCTGTGAACACCGTGGGTGGGGTGACTGCTGGGTTGCGATCCGGGTATCATTGAACTGGCCTGCCTTGAGGGTTACTGGGAGCGCTCTGGTTCCTGTAAGGGTTATTATCCCTTGGATTAATAGACCTTGGATAGTCCACAATGTTTATTTTGTTTGTATGAATAAATTGAACATTTACTATACAAAAACTGAATTTTTAACTTTATTTCAGGACTATCGGTATATAACTGGTAAAATGACCACTAAACATTTTTCTCTCATTTGAATAATTATAAAACATCTTTTAACAATCAAATATAGCTGAGCCTTGCTCCCCTTCATTATCGTTGACGATTGCCCATGATAATAATTAAATTTTTTTAAACATATAACAGTTATTTGTTCATTTACCAAATGGTGCAGGAAAAGTGTTGGCAGCAGGGGTGGGTGGAGGGAAAGCATCGTTTTGCAGTGCCAGCCTTCATGGTGGGTAGTTTCAACGCAAGCACTACACCTTACGTTTTCATAATGGCTTTTGTGTACAATATACAGTTAATTAAAGATCAGTGACATCGCTATTATGTAAAAAGGGTTTTAACCTGGGAATCTGTCATTATTGCCCACAAAATGACGAACATGGCAGCTTTTTGTAACATTTTTACAATAAAAACCGTCATTTGGGAAGTTCTGTTCCATCAAGAGAATGCTCAGAGTGAAAGAAATGATTGAATGAGGGCGACAAACACATCAAGCGCTTCAATTATGTCATAATATTGCTCCCCCCAGAGTTTCTTAACCTTGCAGCTGCAAAGGGGGCTTTATAGCATGAGAACAGAAAACGACGGGCAAAGTACCGTAAGTAAGATATTATTCTCGGCAATATTAACTTTGGCCATATGCCAGAAAACCACCAGGACCTTCTCCAGTTCAAATTGGGACGGGTCAAACTGTACCTTGAAGTTTTGTGTTTCTTTCAACATTGAACCGTTGTAAATTCGTCCAATGAAAACACTGAATCGTGTTTTTCCATCGTAGAGAAATGCCCAAGCTGCCATGCGTTCATGTCACATCTGTCAAAAACGGTCCACATGCTCTCAGTGCATACCGGAAACATTTCTGAATTGACAGATGCGGTGTAAACTACCCCAAAATGAAAATGTGACGGGGAAAGCGAGAGGCTAGACGTCTTGAAATAACAATCGTCCCCTAGAAACAGTTCAGGAAATGGCACACATGTTGCTCTGTGGTACTCTACTGTCCTCACAAGGTTAAGGAGAAAACGATGACTTTTTGGCATGAAGATTTTTTTCTTTGTAGCTTAGAATCGATCTAGATTAGTTTATCAAAAATAAATGTTTTATGTATTTGTATAATGTAAACATATAGCTCTAAGGCATATTTATTCGTTACATATTCCATCCGTTTGACAGCTGTTATTGTTTATCTGTTCATGTAGACACCTGTATAAGCTAGACGCATCACACAAAATTTAATGCGGCCTGCATGTGTAGTCTTTTTAAAAAGGTTTACTGCTTGTAAATAGCGTTTGTTATTTGGAAACACATTTAAATGAGGCGCCTGTTAACGGCTGTGGTATTTGAACAAACCGTATTTGAAGGCAGAAATACCTTTTGCTCCGAAAATAACAGCGTTACTGGCTTGAAGGTTTTGTATATTGATAATAGTATTACCTTAATTTCAAATAACAGCATCGGCAGTCTAGTGTTTGCAGTATATTACCTTTAAGAGTGTAATTTGTGTACAAAGAGACTCAGGTGTTTGTCATTCAATTTTATTATATATCACCCACCTGCGACAGAATATGAAAATAAATAATACAAAAATTGGTAACCTATCAAATATTGGGAAAATTCGTATATTCAGCACGGGTGTGGTAATTTTAGACTCGTATTCAAACCATATAAAACAACATCTTTTTGTGGTTAAATGTTACTAAACATTGCTCGTTTTGAAGCATTGAGAATGTATATGGCTGTTATTGTTGCATCTTTGTTGTGAGGAACCAACGATTCCTGAAAATCACCTTGGCACGGTAGCACTGAATTAATCGATAGTCTCGTGTTTGGTGTATACCACCTCGAAGAATGCAGTCTGGTTACAAAGAAACCGAATTTACGTCTCAATTTCTTGAAAGGCTTTTCCACAAAAGAGTAATCTAATCGATTTGTTTTAACAGAAGCTGTTATTGCCATGTCAGGGAGGGCACCGTACAGTTTGGTTTCCTTTTTTAATTGTAAACCCAAACTTTCTCGGTAAAATATCTATGAAAAAGTGTTAGCAGTTGGTCTGTGGCCGCAATACAACCAACCAACCAACCACCCACCCACACACGCACCCACCCACCCACCCAGCCACCCACCAACAAACCCACCCACCCAAACAACCCACCCACCCACCCACCCACCCACACACAGCAGTGTGTATTTGCCTGCAACTGGGGACCCCCTATTGTTCCTAAGAGACGATTTCTTAGTCAATAAATCACCCATTAGTAATTTGTATACAATTTTTATCACAAAGAAGGACTCCGTCAATAATGTTACAGAAATCATCCAGAACTTTGCTTTACCATTTGTTTAATGGTTGCTCTCTTTAACCATTCTAAAAAGGTAATAAAACATCGGTTTTAACTTCTATTTTGCATTATAAATCGTCATATTTTAATCCGCAACAATACACTACTGACTTGGAAGGAGGTTGTATATAAAAAATGAAAACACATAGGTCTTCAGCCAGAAAGTTTAAAACAAGTAGGTCAAACCAGGGCTTTGTATTTGCTTTAGGTAAGTTGGTTAGTTAAAGTAACGTATTTTTTTTAAAGTCACATTTACATGCCATAGCACTTCAACTCGTGGAAGTTCCTGTGACTTTGTTTCCAAAGTTTAGTTCTCCCAGATCTCGAAATGTGAGCATGATGTTTCGTTCATGTTTTATATTGGAAACTTCATTATTCTTTGGCCCTTCCAGGCAGCGTGTTTTGTTTTTGTTTCATTACTGTTTGGGGGTACACCTCGTGTCAGCCTATCGTATCATTTGACCCCCAGATTTAGAAGCCATTACTGCGGTGGCATGATGCTCTCGGGCAGGTCGTACGCGCGCGTTACATGCCTCTTTGATCAATAGGGTATCGTGATTTGCCAAATGCACGCGCGCGTCAAGCTGAAGAATGTGCGTGTGAGTGCGGTGCCGCCGCAGTTATGGCGTCTAATCCGATTAGGCTATAGATGACACTAGTCGTTCCATTTGTGGAGGCTTCTCCAGTCTAAATGTCAGACTTTATTTCCCTTTGAAATGATATCCTCCAGATCCAAGATTATAGCCGTTATTCAACTCGGGTTCCTCAGCATATTGTTTAAATAATATTCGCCGCCCAGGCACAAATCATTTGAAAAGGGGCGTGACAATGAAGTATGAGAATCACGTGGCCAAAAAACATTTTGCCGAAAGTCTCACTTCCTAAACGCATATGTCAGGAGGACATTTGGCGGAACAACATAACACCCCCCCCAAAAAAAACGCCCCAGGAGGGATTCCCACAATCCACTGTGGTGAATCCTCCATGAACAGCAAATTCAGACATATAGACGGTACATTAACCATTCGTTTAATAATCAGTGTCGCACTGCACGCATCGGTATTAGTCGTCGCTCCCTCGGTGAAAGCGACACTTGGACGCCGCCAAACTCTAAAGGTCTCAGTAGCACGGTGCGGTTTCTCTTGAGGGAAGTTGCCGGAAACTCCTTTGATGTAAAAGGTGAGCAGTAGGACATGTTGGCCATACTTTGCTTCAAAAAGTGAAATCTTGGAGGCTATAGACGGCACTTTCATTGCTGGAGATTTTTTAAACGATTTTTACTTAGAAAAGAATGATTGACTGACTGATTGATTGATTTTATTGATCGGTTTGTTGATTGGTTCACTGATTGATCGGTTGGTTGGTTAGTTGGTGAAGAGGGACTTTTTTGAGAGACAAATGAATACCGGTACATTTTGGTTATCGGGAAGTCCTAAAAATCTTCACATTCCGCTTTATTTGAATCTTACCACGAAAATGTATGTGTTGGACGATAAGCCATCCACCCAGTCAGAAAGTTGGGGGTGATATTTACTGCCATCCACCCAAGATTTTATGCCCATGAAATGGTATCATTTCACTCTATGCAAAATTATTGATTCATATATATTGATTTGTGGGTCTTGTTTCACGTTTGGCCTTGCTTAGTTACATTGGGAAACTTTGAGACTGGGTAAGAACGCTGTTTTCATTGGATCAAACCCTCCCCTGCTCATGGCCATTTTATTTTACAGGGGCCCACGTCTGAAGGTTGGATACCCTTAAAATGCGTAAACCAGTTCGGGATTTATATTGTTTCGGAAAATGTGTAATTGAATTAGTAAAAGCTGCATTCGTTTTCGAACGAAATTGAGTGAACATTCATACCCCGTTTCTGTTTAAGAGATACAAATTCTATTTCAAGGAGTTTGCATTCAGTCGTATAGAGTCAGCGGTCAACTTCCTGACATTACACTGGTTCAGCATGTGCACATTCATTTTTAGGTGAAATTGAATGCATCTGCAATCCTGCATTCATCTTAATTTGAACTCAAGCTATTTTGCAACCTGTGCAGGCGATTTCGCCTGTGTGTCAACTTGTTTAAGGTATGCCTGGCCAAGAATTAGAATTCTTATGTTTACTGACAGAAGTTACATTTTTAGAAATGTTTAGTTGATTGGCTAAATATTTGAATATTCATGATTGAATTAAACCAGTCATGCTGTCATTGGAAACACCGATTATTGCAGGAAACCTATAAACACCGACAACCTTCTTTTTCGTGCTGCGTCTCAATTATAGAAACCTTATTTTTTGTAGTTTGATAACAAACATACTATAAATGAGTAACATGACAAAGTGTTGTCATGATTTTGAAACCTTAATGTATGTATATTCCAATGATTATTGAACGTATAATTTGCAATTTTAAATTATGACAAATGAAAATGAATACTCACTTCCGAAGACAAACGGTGAAAGACAGTTTTTCAGCGAATATGAATGCACATTTGTTATAATTGGCAAGGAATAGGTAAATCCGAAATCCCAGTCACGTATTTGTAACCTCTTTAAATGAAACGTATGCAGATTCATTTATTTGAAGAATGCAAAATGAAGTCAATTGCTTGTTATTGCGAAAATGAAACCAAGTTTTAAGTCGGTTTCAGAATCCGTGCTAAATTGAAATTTTATTATACAAATTAGATCGTGCATTTTCCGAAATTGGCCAGGAAAACCTATATTAAACCCCTTGCCCGAACAAACATTTCTTGATCTCCCCCTCGAAAAATCCTGGATCCATCTGTTTCATAGGATAATGGAGTCAACGCAACAACTTGAAATATGATATCTGTCATATGGTTGGCAATGTAATTAATAATAATATGCATTTATTGGGCTATTAAATAGAATAAAGATTAGCAATAAATAATCACAATAAGTAAACAGCATACAAGTGTACAAAAGACGGAAATAATGCAAACAAGCAATCGCAGGAATAAACAAGCCGAAACAACCCAAACAAGTCTCCAACTTGTGAATCCCCAATTTTTTCTCTGTGAAATATTTTTGAGAAAGCGTTACCACTGCTTAATAGTCGTGAGCCAAACTGCGATGCTTCACCAAGGAAAAGGAAATTTAGAACAGCAAAAGCTATCTAAATTTCAAGCAGAATATGATGACAAATCATTGTTTCTTCCTGATTTTTTCCTGGAATGACATCGCAACTTTCCTTATAAATACACAATATTCGGACTAACAAAACGATTAGCGTAATAAAAAACCGTAATATTAAATATATATTAAATATTAAATCAAAAATTGAAAATCTGTTTTATTTGAACAAAGTTGCTTTACAAGATTGTTTTGGGAGAGGTCGCATCGAATTGACCCTTTTGTGTTTTTTTCCGTGTTTCTTTCTCTTTGGAAACAAATTCTTTAAAACCCCATCCTAAATAGTGAAGTATTCGTAGATTCTGTCTTGTTTCACGAGATTTTGGTTCTGTTTTGTCAGAATTTCATACCTCGACAAAAGCTATTGTCTCTTAATTAACATATCTGGCTGTGCTCCATGGTCCAATATGGGTTGTCTGGCGGCTGCGTGGAACACCATAGATACGGATACCTTTGACTCGACCACATTGGCAACATCCTTTTTCATTCAGCCTTGTTGCTATACAAATGACTCGCCCCAATTAAACAAATATTGCGCATCGTAGTTCAAATAGAAGAGGGACGAAAAATACCTTTATTATGATACAAAAAAGTCAAGAAATATACGAAACCAGCCAACATATCAATTAGACACCAAAAATGTTACCCAGCTCAAATAGGAATACTATTGTTGGTAATTAAACCTCTCTTTGACCGTTTCTTAAAGCTTCACTATTTTTGTAATAAAGTCTGGAGTCAAATATTGGCCGTTGAGCAATTCTCTTTCAGTTTTGTCAAACGCCCCTCTAGCCATAAGTCGTACCTTCCACGAGCTATTTAGGAACAGAAATGAGTAAACTGTCTGAGGTTTTATGAATTTAACGAATTGATTATTTTAAATGGAATTAGACACGTTTCACTATAAGTGCTTAATAGAAAATAATCAGAGTGTGTTGATAACGATGCATTTTCTTCGTTGCGTGCCAGTCGCATCCGTAACGACTGCATGGCGAGGCAAACCATCGGGATCGACACCGACAACTAATAAGATACAGGAAGATATTTTGTAGAAAAATATCTAACTTTATTCGGTCAAAGGTCTACAGAAATATACAAATTCGGGGGCCTGAGTTACCTGGCGTTACGTTGATGGACACAGACAGCGAGGGCCTGGAGTGTTTAATAATAAATTTTTGAAAACCGTCGAACAAAGAGTTTACACGAAGTGGGCCATCACATTACACGCAGCAGGGATGCCAAGGAAGGGCCAATTCATAACACCATTTCATTCTTCCAAATGTCCAAAGGCATAGAGGTAAACATCAATGAGTGCAATTTTAACACGCTTCAGCATTCAACTCGACTGTCGCACCTGCTTTTTAATTTGACGTGTTTGCAACCGCCGTACCACCGCCTTATTCTTCACTCCCTCAATTTAATAAATTTGGAAGTAGCACGGCGTCTGCAAAAGGCTTATTATGAAACCCATTTTCCTATTTGAGATACATGTGCATGTGATGCAACCATGACTAATACGGACAGTAAAACTGAGATGTTTAATCATTAACTGCCTGCTTCCTGCCTCGCAGAATTTCTCCATAAATCACCCTTTAATAATTTGTGTACATGTTTTCCCGAAAGAAGGACTCCGTTAATAATGTTACAGAAATCCGTCAAGTACTTGCTTTCCCTGTACTGTAGTTTTATTTTCATGGTTGCTGTCTTTGACATTCTAAAGGGTGGCAAAACCACGTTCTAACTTCTATTTAGCTTTATGAAGCTTCATATCATAATCTGAAACCATATTACACTAATGATTTGCAAGGGGATAATATACAAAAAATATAGGCCTTCTGCCTAAAAGTTCAAAAGTAGTAGGTCAAACTAGGAATTTGTTTGTGTTTTAGATAAAAACACAAGGTAAGCGGTTAGTCATAGTAGCAAACGTCCTCTAAATCACATTAAAATATCGCTGCACGTTTTAACTGACGTGGAAGGTCCCGTGACTTTGTTTCCAAAGATTAGTTTTCCCAGATCTCGAAATGCTATGAATATGATGTTTCGTTAATGTTTACATAATTAATAATGTTATACAGGGCGTCTGAGAAAAAAACCAAACCCTGAGGAAAGGGTTTAATATGTCCAAACCATGAGATATGATTATATTGTATAAGGATCTCTGAAAAGTAGAAGCAGTATTCTTTCTACCTTGATGGTATCCCTCTTATCATGCACGACTGAACACCAATGTCTTGAAAATGGGGCATCCGAACTCAGTTGTAACACTTTGGATAAACCAGTGAATGAGGTTGTCCTCTGTCATGCTTGTCCAGGTTGAAAGTGACAACAAAAGGTCACGTTAACGGGGGAAGGTTGCCTTTTGTCATTTTCAAGTTATGCAATAATCTGGTTTAAATGTGTTGACTTGCCCCGGGGTAGGCCAGTGCAGTGTTGACAGGTGTTCGAAGGAGGACAGCAAGTCTGCAAGCGCAGTTAGACCTGCAGTTCCATCCATACCGAATGCACATCCGCCACCAACTTTTGCGTGGAGACCTAAGGAGGAGACGGGAGTTTGCTCAGTGGCTCCTGGAACGCTGTCAGACCAATGAAAGGTTTCTTGAATGGTTGACAATCGGTGTTGAGGCAGCATTTGGGATGAATGGAGAAGTTAACACCCACAACAACGTCGAATACGCGCCGAAGGGGCTACCGCCAACTTTTAACTTGAAACCAACATGAGTCGTGAGAAGGTCACCGTTTGGGTAGGACTGTGTGGGAATGGTGTCATTATTGGACCAATCTTTTTCGAACGGAATGTGAATAGTCAAAGGTATTTGAATGTGATCAACCAAGACGTGGTACCCCAACTCCAGATGCATTTTCAACGGCATGAAAATGGTGTTTTCCGACATCTGTGGTGGGCCCAAAACGGGGCACCCGGCACGCAGGCTCATCACTGTGAGGAATCTCCTGCGGGAACTGTTCCGAGATCGAGTAATCGTCGTCAACCACACAATTGAATGGCCGCGCCGTTCTCCGGATCTCACCCTGTGTGATTATTTTCATGGGGGTATCTTAAGGACAAAGTTTTCACCAGTCCACCACGTAACATCCAAGACTTACGTTGTCGCATTCAAAAGGAGGTCGACATCTTACGACATGACCCTGCATTGGTGAGACGAGCTGTGGCTGACACCCGCCGCCGTTGTGAACTCTGCATTGAAAGGAAGGCGGACACGCGGAAAGTGTTGGTGCATAATTGACTGTGAATTACGTAATGTGTAAATAATCGGTGTGCCCCTGATATCTTATTCAGGACAAGCATGACAGAGGACAACCTCATTCACTGGTTTATCCAAAGTGTTACAACTGAGTTCGGATGGCCCATTTTCAAGACAATGGTGTTCAGTCATGCATGACAGGAGGGATACCATCAAGGTATCATTAGAAAGAATACTGCTTCTACTTGAGCTTTTTGCCTCCACTTGCCATTTATGCATTTGTGCACATACATTTGAATTTATTACAGAACTGGTAATTGTTGCCACCCAGGAACAAAGCACAAGACAATGGGCACGTGTTGACATAATGTTAATCACGTGGCCAAAGGGATAGTTCTCTGTCAGGACGCCAGAAAACAGTTCGCCAAAACGTCTGTCTGCCTGAACGCAACATCTAGAGAGGACATGCTGCTGAATTCGCAATCAGACTGCATTGGTGGCGAGTGTGTGGTCAGAGACGGAGACTGTTTGATGATTGTCCTTGTTTTCCTATCCATAAAAACCCCTTCGAAGGAAAGAGCATTATCTCATTCAAAAGTGCAGGTCCTTTCAAGTGAAGAAAGAAACAATGTGCCCCTGGATGGATTAACTGACCCCCCCCCGACACTGCACTGGGGTGTATCCTTCTCTAATTAGCAAATACAGCGAGATATAGCGGGTAATTTATTTAAAAGTTGTTCAACTTGTGCACACGTGAAGGATTTTATTGAAAGGTGACTACTGACCAGTCTGTGTTAACTGTCGTTGAGGAGAAACTTTGGGACAAAAACGTCGGAATCATGCAAGTCCAGCATATAGTTCTGCAAAATTTCAGATTAAGGAAAACATCCCACTGAAACGCCCCCCCCCTTGAGGTGAGATTGTACATTCAGGATTGTAATTTGTAATAAGAATAAGCATATATTTTATTCATACATATATTAAAACTCGTATTTCAAAACTTTTTGTTTAAAATTCCAAACTCATGAATTACCACAAGGACGTATTTTTGGAACTAACAAAGTACCTTTCGTGTTATTGTTCTTCGTCAATTGGTTTTAACAATATTGAGCTTTTAATATCTTATTATAATGGTTCGTCAATCATAAAGATTTAAATTTAAAGAGCGTACCTCCACGCACTCAATGCTTAACAAAAGAAATATCCCTTGCTTACATTTTGGAGATGTCCACAAAAGAAAAGATAACTAAAACGCTCCGGTTTTGATTATGTGGGACATTATATACATATTTATATGTTAATTATATTTATATTTGTAGATTTTTATTTTTAAACTTGTACATTATCTTGTCTTGTACATTATGCTTGTGCAGCGTATCGCTTTCGTGGAAATTGCTTACATTCTATGCAGAATGTCAGTATTGGAATGATTCATTACGGGACGCTCGTCCAATCAGTTTCATTCTTCTGTTCAGTAGCAGACTGGATACGGCGCTCATATTGCACGCACCATCCCTTTACAGTGGTTGCTCCTTCCCTGAAAAAGTGACACTCTGACGCAGCCAGACCGGTTTCGTGGTATGTTGCACGATGCGTTTCTTTCGAGGAAAGTCGCGGAAAACTTCTTTGATTTAAAGGTGAGTAATAGGACATGTTGATTGTGATTCGTCTCTAACATTAAAGACTTGGAGGCACCATTTGGACGGCACAGTCATGGTTAAAAATAACAGTTGGTTTTTTTGGTTTTCCATGTAGGATTGATTGATGGGATTTCACCCATCTTACACTTGCACCTCTTTTGAATTTAGTTTTTTACTTTTTTTCTTTAGTCCAATCAAGAGAAAATCACGCATGGTAATATGTAAACCTTATCTTTTGACTGTATCAAAAATGGAAATGTCTATATACTGCTGTAATGTATCACGCAGGGTCTTGTGTTTATAACAGTCAGAAACTTTGAGACAATGTAAGGTCTGCTTTCCATTGTTGATAAAATTGCTATTATAGGCGCGTATCCAGGGAGGAGTCTCAGGTCTCAAACATTCCCCCTGCTCATTGCCAATCTAGTTTCCTTGTAAGGGGCCTATATACTTCGAAAGACTCGAAGACCTCTTACAAGAATTTACTATGTAGGGTTTACGTTGCGTATACAGGACAATAAAATTTTAAATGGCATCACCAACGACGACAATCTCCCGATCACCCCGGCCAAAAACTCCTGGGTCCGCCTCTACGTGTCAAAAGATAACGTTGATAATGCAATAATGCAACGCAGTGTAATTTAAAACCAGTAATTAACTTGGTAATCCAATGCATTATATTTCTTGATTCGGCTACTCTTGCACAAACTATAGCAAGAAACTATCCCCAAAATAATAATGATAAAAATTTAAAAAAATGCAAAAAAAAAAAATAGTGACCGCATCCTAAAAGCAGGGTGAGATGAAAAACGTCAAAAATGTTAATACCCAAGACAATAAAAGATAACATTGACTAACAGTGAGTAACACACTGAAATAGTTAAGAAGATGAAAATCGCTAAACCAAGGGTGGCAGATGTCACTGCCAAATTTACACCAGAGCTGAATTGACTCACGCCAATGACTCCACTCGAGTTCAATCGAGTTACAATATCTGATCGGGTAACATTACTTTGGTCTAAACGGGTGTTACCTGACTGAAGTCAGTGCAAGCAAAATTGATGTAATGCCTTAAACTGAGTCACTACATTTCTCCCGACTGGAATCACAAAATAAAACGACTTGTAACAACTGTAATCGACGCAGACGGATACAGAATAAGCTCGTCGTTTGAAAATGCGCTTGAAATCTAAAGCCAAAGTAGCACTCTCTAGGCAGAAAAATTAAAAACAATATAATAAGACCAACACCGCAAACAGTTTACATTTGCTTCGTGTGTTTTTGTTCTCATCACTTAGCAACGGTATACAAACCAGTGTTCATATTACATGACTTTTATTAGCAAATATCTCTGACAGGGAAACAGTTAGCCTGGTCTTTTGTTCTGCCTCAAGAGTGTTTGTTACGCAAGGCAAGCCCAGGCAATGCATGATGCTTCCCATTTGTCTACCAAACCATAGAGAAACAGGGATGTAGATGAAACAGAGAGAAAATAGTGGAGAAGTAAAACTGTATAGAAAACTATACAAAAAGTGTTTGTTGTAGTTACAAACACTTAGTTTGATATTGTTCACAGAATTTCACGCAAGTTATCGGTAGTCTACTTTATGCTGTTATTTGAGCAAATACTGCATGCAAATTAAATTGTGCAAATATAAATTGTTACGTTCAGGAAGATGTTATTATCTTGAAACTATGCCTCCAATAACTTCTCAAATAATGACGCCATTTTGAAGCTAAACGAAAAATTTGGTTATGTCTATCAAGAGGGTTTGGGACATTTTCATGAAATATTGCCAACAGATGTCAAATGTAAAAAAGTAAATATCTTTGTTGGGTGAAGGCACTCTTTTATGCCATGATGTCGACAATCCTTGTATTGTGTTAAGCATACCTGAGTGAACACTTTTACTAATTAGTCTGATTGTGAGAAAAGTCCGTCGTTTTTGAATTACGGTCCCATATTATTATATTGCCGGCCTCCCAGGCAATTGAAGTCATGTTACTTCCTGTTGCCATCTTGTCTCTAGGTATGAAGTTGATGCCTCATTCAATTCAGAGTTATTTTTAAACATTTCACCTTAATCCTAAAAAAACCTGGGGGAATCAGCCCCCTCCCGGACATATTTTTCCAATATTGCCGCAGTGCCGCAGAGTCCTTAGGACTTTTAGAGTAACTATTTGCAGTCATTTTGACACTGTTGATGCAGATATCAATATACCCATTAATGACAGGTCAGCCAAAAGTGTGTATCTCTTCCACTGCGGTGCTCTATGAAGGCGTACTGGCACGTACATAGGCATGAACTTCAGATTTCTTCAAACAACAAAACCATACGTCCAATTGATTTAACACTTCAAATTTGTAACGAGAAGATTGTGTGTACTAAGTTTTTAAAGACAATTGGCGCGGCTGTTTGATTGGCAGAAAGAACTTGACTCTGTTACAGTTAAACTACTTATAGATGATAATTGATGACGTCACATCGATGTCACAAAAGCATGCATAGTTCGACATCAAAGTTGAGACAAGGGCCTATTTTAATAATCTGAGTTGGACTAACTTATTGATTTAACGTTTGTAAGCAATTAAACATTATCCCTTTTAATTTAAGTTGGGGACGGGCAGTTTAGCTGATAACGTATTTCAGCTCTGTCAGACTGAATGAACGAGATCCGGTACACTAGTTTGTAATGAACCCCCATCCCTTCGGGGAGAGTTCCGTATCAAGCAATTAGGCATGCTCGTTCTCATGGGCGTAAATCCTGGGATGGGGTAGATATACATCCTTTCACTTTTTGAACAGGGGATGGGCTATTGAAAAATCCCATACATTTTTGTGCTGACAGATTGTATTGAGGTGGATTGTGACATCCCTACACTCCATATCTATTAAATATTAATAGAATATTAATTAATCTTAGAATTAATGAATATAAAAAGAGACAACAGAACAAAAACCTGCTTGTGCCGTTCAGATGTCAGATTCTGCAGGAACGTAATATACATTACCGGTGTACATCTTTATCTGTATTATGAGCATGGTCCCCCAAATATTGTCAACATGTGTCAGGAACCCCCCCCCAGCTATTCAAATTTCCATAGCCGACAAGCCCCCCCCTCCGATTCCCCTCCCTCATTCCCCCCTTCCCGGTGGACGCATACATCACAGCACAAAATACTTGCACCAGACAAACCAAATTACACCTCAGCATGCATTTTGCACTGAAGACGTGTCCATGCAGCCTGTAAACCATTTATTTGGGTCTTAAACGTTTTGATGTTCATGGAGAACTCTTTCCTAATCCCCTTGCAGTAGTTTTCCTGAGAGCAACAGTGACCTGATCAGATATCACACAGCCACATGATCCCACTCTACCTACGAATGTTTTTGAATAGGCCAAGCAAAATGCCACCATTCCGAACATGGAAGTATATATGTTATATGATGGGGATGTCACATTAAAAAGCCAGGCTGAAGTTGTTTAAGTGAGCAGTTTTCCTTTGAATGAGATGAAATGATAGATGAAACGAAATGGAATAAAAACTGGGCGGTAAATTAAATAAACATTTAGAATCGATACATCCCAACAGAAATAAAGACTGAACACATTCCTCTGTAAGGCCATCATCAATACTCATCCTTTGCGTTGACTACTACCGAGTAGAAGCCAGTTCGACCCAACTCCCTTTTCCCTTCTAATTATGCCCAGGACCCTACATAATCACGCTGACGCTAATTCGTGAGTCAGGTGCCTGGACTGGACTCTCTGTGCGGTTACATGTTGCTTTAGAGTGGTCAAGATGGACAGGTAGTAACTAATCCTTCACAAGTACCTAAGAGAGCCACCACCTCTTATTTATGTTCCTCCGGATGGAAGTCTTGAAAACAAAACTAGCTACGTTTTACAGGAGATTGCCGATGGCTCACTTTAATCATATCGCAAAGAACTGTGTTTAGCTTCGCAGGGAGCGACTGTCACGGAACAGTGCTTTTGTACAATAGTTATCGTAATGCTTATCGTCATTGCCGAACATGCGCTGTAAATTTCTTGTAATAGTGTTGCCATGGTCACTTAAGTCATCAATTATCCAAGTAATAATTCGCTAACAGTCATGGCACCATTGGCAGGAAAATTGGGGGCATAGCTGGGGAAGATTTGTAGGGGCATAGGGCCTCTCAATTTCTGAAGGGGGTTCTGATTTTTTCGAGGGGGAACTTAATGTTTTTCACAGTGGAGACTCTTACCAATTAATGCAGACTATCACCAGATATTTTTATTTCACGAATTTCTGTGCAGCAATCCTCCGGAGTGTCCTTGCAATATCATGGACTGACAGGCCAGCGTGTGCAGGAGGCTAAGAGTGTGTAGCACTACTGAAAAAAAAAATCGCATAAAAACAGCCTAAATTGACAAAATTACAGAAATTGTGGCATCTGCTTCTCGACGTGCAGTCTTTTTTAGGCAGATGGTTGAGTTTCTGATGGTGCTCACTTTTTGTGGTTTTAAATCAATCGAGGTAGTTATCTTTTATACGCCGTTATTACTTCGCAAACGGACGTGCACGCAAAATCTCATTATTCCCAGCCGAAATCCCCACACGAGTGCCGTTTTGTAAGTTTTTCCACGATGTTCTGGGATCGCTTTGGTTTTCCTATTCAAGTAATACCCTTTTCCCGTTTAGTTCTTTTGGTTGAAATACGACGGCTACCACTTCGTCAGGTGTATAGTTATTAACATTATCAACTCATTTTGAGTTGGGAGAACATCCCAGACAAATTAATTTTAATCTGTGAATAAAATTATTTTAGTGTATTAGTCTTTAGGACTTCTGAACCTCGGCTTGATTACAGGACAAACATGCGCCATGTCACAGTGGCAATTCTTGTTTACTATGTTAGAGCCTAGTACCCAGGAAAGCTACTTGAATATTCAGGGTGAGGTAAATAAGTTACTTGGCAAAAAACTGGCATAAAAGACGCTTTGTTATAAAG